CTTAAACTAATTCAAAACAAATAAATAACTTTTTCAGACCACTTTCATTATTATTATTTATTTACAAAAAGGAAATCAATTAGTGGTTTTGTTATGATAGTTCATATTTTTTGAGGTCGAGAAAACTTTTCAGCCTCTTCCTAACCACTATCGTGTGATTTATCAGTGCTAAGAATCGAACTAAGGACTTATCGTAGTTTAAACCACCTTCATTATTTAAAACTTATACAATTAGTACAAATACCACAACAATCTTTGCTCCTTTTGGAAGTCTGGTTTCTCGATGGGTCTGTCTTTGGGCTTTGTTGATTTTTTTTATTCCGTCCAAGGGATGTAGAATGGCCCACGTACTAGGAATTTCTATCTATACATAGGTGGAAATACATACACGAATAAGTAAATTCAAAATTTCTATTATATACAAGTTATTCAGTTTCTCTATACTAACTGGTGAATGAGATCCAATGATATTTGAACAGCTAGATTGCGACTGTTAGAATTCATACATGCAAACTTTAGCCGTTTTCGATGCATCCCATATGTAGGTCAAAGTTTTGCAAGTTACAATGATTTACTAAGTTTTAAACAAATATAAACTTTCACTAGCTTATGATCAGAACTGTGAATGTTGTTCATTGTCCATTGCTCCATAGGAATGCGAAGGCACTTTGATTTCATCAGTCTTGCGTCTTGAACAAAATCCGGTCTGTACACAATGGAAGTCTCATCAGAGTTTTCATTAAACTCTCGAAAAATAATTAAAATTTGAGGAAATAATTCCCATGCCAGCCAAAAATTTAGTTATCGGAATTACTTTACTACGAAAATTAAAAGTTCTTCAAAAAAGGGGACAACAACATTACATGTTAAAAAAGAGTAATGTTGGAAAGATTAAATTTGTTGATAAAATTTGTAAACTAAATAACATAGAAATTGATGATTAGATTATTATTTAAGAGTTGATAAACATGTTCGTTTCTTATTGTTGAGACATCATTTAGTTTGAAGATCCTATGGATCCTCACATTATGACTATTTATCGTACATCATGTAGTTAGTTTTCGTTAGATACTATTTGTATTTAATTTTAAATAAAAAAATTTAAAATGATTTAAAACTGTATGATGTACAATAAACGGTTAAGATGTTTAGATGCTTGTTATTCCCTTGTCAAGTACAATTTCAGACATCCAATTCAAAATGATTTAAGGCTGATGTACGATAAATGCTTTCCTCCGTCGGGCTCTGGAAGCATGCGTCTGCGCGGCGAGTGCATTTATTCCGCACTACTTTCTTTCGAATTTTGTACGTGATAATTTCTTCTTCTTTTTTTAATCGGAACGATTGCATTCCTTACCTGATTCAAATTTCTGAAATTCTTGGTCTTTGTCTGGTTGATGTGCAGTCCTCGCAGTTATCGCGGAAAAGGAGCTATCCCGGCTCAATTTCTCCATATTTCTGGACCAAAATTGAAGTGAAATGGTGAACCTTTTGATTTAATTCCGTGTAATTTTAATAATTTCATTCAATTTTGTCTATTTTGTGTGTTAAGTATGCTTTTCTTGTGATTCTGTATTGTTCTCATGGTAGCCTGATGGGAATTAGGGTTTGTTTTTTAATTTACTTTTTCGAAGAATTAGTTTCATTTCTGTGGAAGTTTTACTTGACATACGATATTCTAAATTACTCTAGTTTACGGGGAGGGTGATTCGAACTTGTATGCATTGGAACGGGCGTACTGTTCTAGCCGACTGACCTAACCCTAATCTGCTGCACTTTTTATTAAGTTGTGGATAAGAAGCTGAATATTGTTTTGTATTTCCTTTAGTTTTAATCTACCATTTTTTTTTTTGAAGTTCTAACAATCGTTTGTCTCCCTCCGCAAACTCAAACACAGAAAGTTGCAGATTTGCAGTCTAAATGATCTAGAAACTGGTCATTGTATGAATCTAATGATTTTTTTAATTACTTGAATTTTGCAGAAGCAAAGACAAACCCCCAAGTCCCTTTCCAAAATTATGGAGATGGATTTGGATAGAATTAGCAACCTACCGTGTCATGTTATAGATCAAATTTTGTCACATTTGCCGATTAGGGAGGCGGTGCGAACAAGTATTTTGTCGACCAAGTGGAGGTACAGATATGCTAGGCTTCCACAGCTTGTGTTTGATAACCACTGTGTGTCGCCTCAAAACCAATCAACCTTGGTCAACATTGTTGATCATGTGCTTTTACTTCACATTGGCCCCGTACACAAGTTCAAGCTGTCAAAGAGGGACTTTCTGGCCACTGCTGATATTGATCGCTGGATTCTTCATCTGTCAAGAAGCTCAATCAAAGAGTTCATACTTGAAATTTGGAAGGGGCTGCGCTACAAGATGCCCTCATGCTTGTTTTCTTGCCAGGATATGATTCATTTAGAGTTGTTCAATTGTTTGCTTAAACCTCCATCGACGTTCAAAGGCTTCAGGAGTTTGAAGAGCCTTGACCTTCAGCATGTTACCCTGGCCCAAGACGTCTTTGAAAATATGATTCGTCGCTGTCCTCAGCTTGAGAAGTTGACTCTGATGAACTTTGACGGTTTCTCCCATCTCAACATTGATGCGCCAAATCTCCAATTCTTCGACGTTGGAGGTAAATTTGAGGATGTTAATTTCAAGAATACCTCAAATCTTGCTGTAGTGTCCATTGGTTTGTATGACCATGTTGGCAACTCCTTTAGACGGCTTCCTAGCAGTTCAAGCAATCTGCTCAAGTTTTTTGCTCACCTTCCTGGTATCCAGAGACTTGAAATTCAGAGTTACTTTTTAAAGGTAATTGGTTGTGTGGTTTCACTCTCTTAGTGATCATTTAACATGACCATGGGAATTTGAGTATATTGGTCGGGTGTTATCTTATGCATCTTTTCCTTTCCAGTATTTGGCTATTGGTGCCTTGCCAGGAAGGCTGCCTAAACCATGTCTTGCTCTGAACTATCTTTCTCTACGGATAAGCTTCAACGATTTGGATGAGGTCTTGACTGCTGTATGCATTTTGAAAAGCTCTCCCGCACTACAAGAAGTAGAAATTTTGGTGAGATTTATTCCATTGATGCATGCAAGAATGAAAGTAGGCTTTGTCATAGTTCAAGAATATGTTATCGTAGACATTTTCCTTTATGCAGGTCCGCCCAGAGGACATTGCTGCTGTGGGAACAGTTGACCTCCAGTTAGATGTAAACTGGAAATGCCCAGTCACCCGACTACGACTTGTGAAAATCAACGGCATCTCAGGTACCAAACCGGAACTGGAATTCATCAGATTTCTACTTTTGAGTTCACCTGTGCTCGAGAGGATGACTGTGAAACCTGCATCCGTCAACTGTGCTTGGGAGATGGTTAAAGCTTTGCTTCTGTTTAGGCGTGCCTCGGTGCAGGCAGAGATTGTCTACGAGGACCCATGATTCATCGATCAGTTTCGACAGATAAGAGGATTTGCTTGCAGGAATGAATGTAGGTTTTGTAGAGATGTTTATGATGTACGTATGTTTGTCTGAACAAAATGTCTCATGTCTGTAAACTCTGAGATGTGGATTCACTTGGCATTAACATTGCATAATGTATAGAGAGTTAGGGGATGGCAATCATGGCGTGGGCTTGTTGGTTGTGTCAGCTCCTTTTTATATCCGGGACATCTGAAGCAGTCACTCTGGCATTAAACACCCCCACCGGCACCCAAAAAGGAGCAAAATCTCTCATTGGCAACTCTGAACGGCTCAATTTTTCAAGATTGACATTAAAACTCACAATTTCTTTGGCATATTCACTGCTGAAAAGTAAAGAGTTCCTCCTGCCTCAGCTAGCGAAACTAATGCTTCTATCAACCTAGTTGACCGAATGGTGAAGCCCACGCGACTGGCGCAAAAAAAAAAAAATAATAATAATAATAACGTGGATGATGTCACATGTCATGTTGACATTACCTTGGCGTCTGAAAGCCTCAAGTAAGGCCTCAGGCCATTCTTGCCTGACTGCTTGGCTTGTGGGAGAAGGGCCCACCCACTAGGTGGGGCAATTGGCATGGGCTAGAGTAGATTTTGGAGGATTAGGGGATTCAATTGTCCAATATATTGACAATTTGTAAGAATGGAGTTGCTTTAAAAATGAATACCTGAAGTTGAAAATGATGACAATAATAGGTGATATGAAATTTTTGTGAATTATAAGACGATAGAGGTCATAAATATATAAAAAGCCAGTTACATTATATTATATTATTTATATATATACATATATAGAATATATACATACATACATACATACATACATACATATATATATATATGAGCATGCGATAGTTAAATAGCATGTGATTTGTATGCGTTGGCATGGATTTCATGAGAAAGGTAACTAAGGGCTGGTTTGGTATTGCTGTACTTTGAAAAAAAGCTGCTTCTGTTGTGCTGTGAAAAAAAGCGGCTGTGAAAAAAAGCCAGCAGAGTGTTTGGTAAACTTTTTTGTGAAAGTGCTTTTGGAAAAAAAAGCAGTATGATAGTGTTTGGTAAACTTTTATGTAAAACAGTTGTGACTGTGTAAAATGACCAAAAAGGGTATAATACTAGATGTGCCATTAATTTAATTTTCTTAACCAATAAAGGTGAATTACTAAATATACTTTATTTGTAAAACAAACATATTTATAAACTTTATCTTAAATATTAATTAGTATGACAAACTACTTCAATTGAAATATTTTAGACTGAATAGTTAGAATTCATTAGTACAATATTGTTAATGTACTTAAAAGTAATCTAATTAGATGCATTCATCAAACTTGCCGCTATTCTATTTCTTAATAACGAGCTCCACTCGCAAATACAAATAACGAGCTCAACTCGCAAATACAAATCATCCAAAATTACAGGGGAATAAAGAGAAACTGAAACAAGTGTGGCTTCCATCTGCACTGCTTTGGCTGTAGAGGCACAAGGACGATCCCTCTCTCTCCCTATCTACAGATAAATATATCTTATAACCGCTGTTCAATGCTTGGTAAACTTCCTGAGGACTTCAAAGTAATCGGGGAATGTTTTTCTGGTACAACCGGGATCCTTGATAGTAACTGGAACGTCTCCACAGGCAGCAAGAGAGAAAGCCATGGCCATTCGGTGGTCATCATACGTGTCTATTGCTGTCACGTTTAATTTTTCTGGCGGTGTGATTATGCAGTAATCTGGTCCCTCTTCAACAGTTGCTCCCAGCTGAAATTTAGGTCCGAAAAATGTTAGAGAAGTAATAAGCATATGAAGGTGTGGGACTATCAAGTGTGAGGGCAGCCAACTAAAACGAACCTTTCTTAGTTCAGTGCAAAGGAGCTGCCATAAGCAAAGCAGTCAAGTACTGACTACTAATTGATCCAGAGAGCTTCACCTGAAAACAACAGATAAAGTGTGGATTGAATTGATTAAGTGCATCAAAACTGCAGGCATTACAGAACAACCATAAATATACAAGACAATGCAAACCACACCTTCCCCCTGGAAGGCCTCCCTTTCCAATCACACGGACAGGAGGGCAGTTTGTTCCAAGAAAACAATCAGCATCCACACCAAGCTGCTTAAGACCATCAACTAATTTCCTTCTTTAGCTCATTGATCACAAATACAGCAACTTAACAAATCCAAATTCTTTCAAAATTTCATCTTTTCTTTCATCACTCTAATGCACATCACAGCAACTATCCTTTTGCATTTAAAACCTTGAAAATCGAAATACCCAGCATTCTAAATCACCAAATTTGACTAAAAATTGAAACAATATCCTAAAAGAATTGAATCCAGACATCACCAACCCATAAAAGTAAGAGATTTTCAATAATCAACAGAGTCAAAAACAAAAGAAACATTAAATTAACAAATAAATGAATAATTAATCAGTTATGTAAGAAATCAGAAGTGTAAAACACACCTTGAGGGGTGGGTGGGGGGAGGAGAAGAAGAAGAAGGAAGAGGAGAACAGGGAAATGAAGAAGAGAACACAAGCGAGAAAAGGGCAAAATCAAAAAAATGGAAAAACCAAAATAAGGGTATGAAATTTTACGAGAAACAAAATCTGGGATAAGAAGAATTGCAACGCAGCAAAAGAAAAGAGCAGCTAAACCCTAACCTAAAAATTTAATTAATTAATTATAGCAAAAATTGAAAGCAAGTCGAGTAGTTGGTACCTGGAAGGCGACGGTGGTGTGGCGTTGAGAGTGACGGAGAGAAACGAAAAGGAGGAGGAGGAAGAGGTGCAGCGGCGGGAGGGAAAAGGGGTGTAGAGTGCAGCGGCGGGAGTTTTTTGCAACAGAGAAGGAGAGAGTGCAGAGTGTAGGATTGGGAGAAGGAGAAAGGAGAAAGGAGGGGGCAGTTTTGGTAAATTGAAAAAATTCATTAATTAGGTACTGTAGCTCCGCGTTTTGGAAAAATAAGCGGCTTCTGGAAGCTGCAAAATGCAGCTTCCACTTTTTGGCTTTTTTTCGTGTGAAACTTTGAAATAAAGCTGTTTTGGGATGTTTACCAAACACCAAAATCCTTATCAACTTTTTTTCATGGCAGCTTTTTAAAAAATCATCTCAACCCCAAACTGGGGCTAAGGGCTGGTTTGGTATTGCTGTGCTTTGAAAAAAAGCTGCTTCTGCTGTGCTGTGAGAATAAGCAGCTGTGAAATAAAGCAGCAGAGTGTTTGGTAAACTTTTTTGTAAAAGTGCTTTTGAAAAAAAAAAACAGTATTATAGTGTTTGGTAAACTTTTATGTAAAACAGATGTGAAAAAAAGCCAGTTTTTCAAAGCTGGGTTTTGCAGCTTCTTGTTTTTGGCTTTTTTTCACCCAAAACTGTGAAAAAAAGCTGAAGCTGAATGTTTACCAAACACAAAAACAGCTTCCAGCTTTTTTTGATACCAGCTTTTTTCAGAATCACCTCAGTACCAAACCAGACCTAAGTCATTGGAGAAACCGTAGCGCATTGGAGACGCTGTGTGGGCAAGCATACGGTGCGGGGCAGATCAGGATGTTGGGGGTGTACATGCAGAGATCATGGATCATTCTGGTGGTGTCCGCTTTTGTATTGGTCCCCATCTATGTGTGGTCCCCACCTATTCTCGAGCTTATTGGAGAGACCACTGAGAGCTCTGAGGCCGCTGGTTGGTGATATTTCCTTTTTTGGCTGCGTTTTAGTTTTTATCTTTTCATAATGATATTTAAATATTGACAAATAAAAATGTCATTGGATCACATCATATGAAAGCATATGACCCCAAAAAAATTACATGAATAACAAATATATTCCCTTGATCAATAACTAAATAAATAAATAGAATTCCAAAGAAAAATGGTCTATGATCGAATGATACGTTATTTTCTCTATTATGCTCGTAGCTTAATATCCTAACAAATAAAATGTTAAACTTAAACTCATGTGTCACGAGTTTGCAACTCTCTCTTTCTTAAATTATTGTAATAATTTTGAATTTTTTCGCGTCAAATAACAACAAACTTACAAAAAATTAAAAAAAAACTTTAACTTTTATGTGTATGCAAAATTAATTTGTGATACCGGCAGTGTAGCACGTACTCTACTAGCTGGTCCCCAAGTCTCAAGGCCGAACTAACTTTTTGCCCAAAAATGAAAGTTTCTCTTTTCTCTTCTCCCGTTTTAAATAAGGGTGATGATAAAAATAGATCGCATTCGTAGATTATATTTTGTTTATCATATAATATGACATTTAATAGTTAGATTTATTTTTTAAATTATTAAAAATGAAATCAAATGATTAATTGTTACATTATATGGTTTACAAAATATGATCTAAAATGATGGTCTCCTTAGCATTTTCCTTAAAATTAATAATCACATTTTTAGCAAAAATCTTAGTTAGACGAGTTTGGCAGAGTAATGCGTCCGTCTTCTTATATCCAAATTTGAGTTCACTTTCTATAGGTTATTTTAGTTTAGAACATATCTCGTCTAAATACCATTGTATATGGTTCGAGGAACCTCTCGCTGTCATTTGTGATTTGGTTTTTGAGGAAAGTCTCCTCTAGTTTGTTTTTGGTTAACTTCCCACATTTATTGTTTAGACCATCTCCAACCGAAGGGTCCAGAGAGTCAGAGGGCCGAAAATAACCTCGAAAACCCTTTCTAACCGAGGGCTAGGCCAAAGGGCTTGTGGGCCCCACGGGACAAAAAAGGGCCAAAAGGCCAACCGGCCAACCGGCTGGCCATCTTTAGCCAGCCCGCTGGCTAGCCCATTTTTTTTTTTTGTTATTTTCCATTTGCCCAGCCCACTTTTTTTTTCTTTTTTTTGGATGTTTTTTTTTTAATTTCTAATTTTTTTCCTACACCATTTCTCACACATTTTTCACCATTCCATACTATTTTACCTAATTTTATTTCAATTCTTCACATTCCATACTATAGTCATTTGGCTCTTGGTTGGAGATAGTTTTTTGTGACATGGCTAAAACGAGTCCTATGGTCCTTTGGCCCTCGGTTGGAGATGGTAAGAAATATTGCCCTGCACTGTTCATTAAAATATTACTTGGAGGGCCAGAGGGCAAAACGGGCTCTCTTGCCCTCCTTCGATTGGAAATGGTCCTATGTATGGGTAGGTAGGAGAAAAATCTTACTACTAGGGCTTTTGCGGTGCAGGAAAGTTTGCGGTGTGGATGCTTCCACAGTTGTTCGCCTACGCCCTCAACTTTCCAATTCAGAAATTCTTACAAGCACAAAGCAAAGTTAGTGTGATGGCCTGGATCTCAGCTGCAGTACTCGTAGAACATGCATTTTTCAGTTGGTTGTTGATACTTAAGCTCGAGTGGGGTCTGACTGGGGCAGCGATCACACTCAACGTTTCCTGGTGGTTCATCATTATTGGCCAGTCGCTCTACATCTTCATCACCAAGTCAGATGGTGCTTGGGGTGGATTCTCTTGGCTTGCGTTTGCAAACTTGTGGGGATTTGTTAGGCTCTCTTTATCTTCTGCTGTCATGTTGTGGTGAGTAGTCCGGCTATGGAGCAAGCTTATGTTCGTTAATGAGTAACACACTGTTAATATATATATCATTGGTAACGAGTCGATATTATCTGCATACGTATTGTCTATATTAAAGAATGAACATCCTACACTGAGAATTTTGTCGTACTAAGGTTTTTGTATAATTGCAGCTTGGAATTCTGGTACTTGATGGTGCTGGTGGTTATAACCGGCCGTTTGACGAACCCCTTGATCCCAGTTGATGCCATCTCTATTTGGTGAGTTGCTTTAATCATCTATATATTTTGTACAGAACTATGAATTCACTTTTTGACCTCATATTTCTTTTCATTTGTGCAGCATGAACATAAATGGATGGGATGCAATGATTGCACTAGGGTTCAATGCTGCAATCAGGTAAACTTATTTACTTATGTTCTCATCTGACAAGTCCTTTTGTAACTTGTTGACTTTGTGGTACAATTAAAGATCATGTCATGAATTCGACTGATACGGAATGTGATATCCTAAATTTTCTCTGACTATATGCTATATGTTGCAAAACAAACAGCGTGAGAGTATCAAATGAACTTGGAGCTGGTAATTTCGAGAGGGCCAAATTTGCAGTGATAGTAGTTTCGATAACTTCCATCGCTATAGGAATCGTCTGCATGATCGTAGTTTACACGACGAGAGATTATTTCCCCTACCTTTTCATCAACAGTGAAGCTGTCGCGGAGGAAACTACTAAACTTGCAATATTGCTTGGAATCACGGTCCTCCTAAACAGCCTTCAACCAGTCTTATCTGGTAATTACAATTAACCACATAACTAACCCAGACTTTCGCGTACACACGCACACACACACACATATCTATCTATCTATCAATTAAGTGTCATTTTTCCTGACAATTTGTTTTGTTTAATTTGTTTCTGAAGGTGTTGCTGTTGGCGCTGGATGGCAGTCTCTTGTTGCATACATCAACATTGGGTGTTACTACGTTATCGGATTGCCGGCAGGAATACTTCTTGGATTCACATTTAAATTTGGAGTCGAGGTGATACAATTAGACGACTTACTATTTTGGAGTACGATCAACAATTCCATAAATCTAATCTCTCTCCTAATCTGCGTTTTTCGAACTTGTTTTGTAGGGTATTTGGTCAGGAATGATTGGTGGCATTCTCTTGCAAACCATAATTTTGATAGTAGTCACTTCCATAACTAACTGGAAGAAAGAAGTATTAAGTCCTTCCTCTTGATTAACCTTAAATCGTGTTAACTTGCTTAAGCCGATACTAATTATGTCACCAAATGTGCAGGCTGATGAAGCAGAGAGCCGTGTCGCTAAGTGGGGAGGAGGAGGAAGAGATGCAGATGTGTAAATCGAAGACGAAAACATCAAAATTAATTAAAGGGTGACAGTCACACGGAGCTTTTGCAGAAACCATCGGCAGTGCAGTTATGCATTGGCATTGCGCTAAGCAAAGATTTTGATGCTAAACCCCAGAAGTAACGGATAATAGCGGATAGCTGGTATTGCCAGAACTCAGAAGCAGAGAAAACCAGAGAGGCGTCGATTTTGTTTGTATTTAGAATGGTGTTGGTTATTCAATTCTAATAAAGTTTTCAATAATATCAGCAACAAGCTCGCAAAAATGAGTACATTCTCCACTAATCGATAAATGATGAATTCGCATCCGAGCGCAAAACTGAATTATTTGGAGAAAATCACTCTGTGAAGAACAATTATAAAACATTGATTCAGCCACTAAAGTGACACAACGACGCAACTAAAAGCAAACTTTAAACCACAACCTCTCACACAATAGACTAAAAAACAATGCAAAAAACGCATCCATGTTCAGTTTTTGTAGCTTATTACGACTTAAAAGTGAAACTAAAAACCTTAAGAAAACAAGACTTTCACAGCTACAACGAGAGTTTTAATGGAGTTGCAAAATTTTCATGCTTTGATCACCCGTGAACTATCTTGTCTGCAGCGCAAATAATTTTGATAGTGGGTGTTTACACCATTACCTTTTCAAGATGAATACACTAATAAAGAACAAACACGTAGAATTCAACTTACACACTTCGAGTCAAAGTCATCATCCACGTTACTTAATATATTAAGATGGAGGGTCCCTACCCAGTCACTATCGACTCGCAGTAGCCTTTTTCAAGTCACGATCAAATTTAAATTCCTTAATAAACGAAAGCCTAAGCTTCCAATCGCGGTATGTACTTTGGCATCAACCCCGACAAAGGTCAACATCCCGACCTTGAGAAACCAGACGAGCGATTCGGTTACGGGTTTGTGTTCAGAACTGAAAAACGAGGCAATGCAGTTGGAGAACTGCCGTCCGCGGCTGCTTGGCTGCGCGGAGTTGGAGACACGCGTCCCCCTTCTTTCTTCCCCCTCCCTCTTTCCTCATCATTGCAGCGAAGTCTTTGATAATGATCAACACCCCCCTCATTTTCTTCTCTCCTCATCATTGAAGCCAAGTCTTTGATAAAAATCAGAAGATGATACTCCTCGCCACAAATGATGATCCAGCACCTACATCAATTTCAATGAAATTGTCTTGCTTGAGATATTGCAGAATATAACCTCGAGTAGGTAAGTCGTGCACGCCGATCTGTGTTCAGTTTCAAAATAGTGTTTGTGTTCAATTTTAAAAATAGTATGGTATATGTGTTCAATTTCAGAAATAGTGTAGTACTCGTGTTTAATTTTATAAATAATTAGTATTCAATTTTCAAAAATAATGTTCAACTTTCAGAAATAGTGTTCAGTTTTCAAAAATATTGTAATACCCTTCAGTTTCAGAAATAGTGTGTGTGATACACGTCATTTTTTATTACTTTTTTATTTTATTTTTATTATTAAACTTTTGTTTTTTCTTTGAAATTTAATTCTTTTTCATTACATAAAAGTATATCATGATTTTTTGTTAAAAATAGACTTAGCCCAAACCCATTTCATTAAGTCTTGTATATTTATATACATAAATGGAGTATTGAAGTAATTATGATTTCTAAAAATGAAAATTGAAGTAATTCTGATTTCTAATTTTTTTTTATTTTTTATTTTTTAGTAGTAGTAGTTGGTAACGTATTCAAAATAAGAAAAATTTTGCGTTCCATAATTTTTTATTACTATAATACTTAAAAAAAAAAATCATATCAATTAGGCGTGCTACGCGATACCTTACCCTTTCCTCCTTTCTGTTTTTAAATACATGACTTTCTTATTCTAAATGGGCAAACATAATAAAAGTGGTAAGATAAGCCATAATAGTGAATGACGAGCCCATTGTGATTTCAAAGGTTGTGGCCTCGCAAAGTGATTTGATACTAATTTGATAGCATATGCTACTAATTGGAGAGTATATCATCTATTAATTTAAGAGCTCATGACGTGCTTAATTTGATCTCAACATTAGGTGACAATGAATCATCCACCTACTTAACTCATCAATCATGCAAACAATTACTTTAACGCTATGTTTAATTACAAACTCACGCTATCAGGTTTGACAAGGAGCCAATTCGGTAGAAAATGGAAATAATTAAAAAATTAAAAAATTAGAAAATGTAAATTAGTAAAAATTAGTCATCCATCCCATCGTAAGACATACCTTAAACATCGCCCTTATCCCGTGATTTTATTTCAAGGAAAGACTGATCTCCACCGCGGGAGAGATTATCTAAAACGAGGAACTGTTCCATATATATAAATCCCTTTTCAGTTTCGTTTAAATTTGCCCTATCTCCTCTCTCTCTCTCTCTCTCTCTCCTCTCATCGTTATTGACGGGAGAAGGAGGAAGAGAAGGAAAGGAAAGGAAAAAAACTATCAAATCTTTCAAGGGGTTTTATTTCCCCACGAAGATTTCTTTCTTTTCATTTTCCCGGAAATTTTTCTCTTCCTCCCCTCGTCGATCAGGCCTCGTGAAAATCCTTGATCGTCTGCAATTCCAATTTTGATTTTTGGGTTTGAGAGAGATATAGAAATGGAGGACGATTATTACGTCAGTAGCGAGGACGAGGAGTATTACGACGAGGATGATGATCGCCAGAACATGGAGCTGTTGGAATACGTCGAGAATGACGACTCTCTCCCGTCTGAGGTTCCGAGGAGTAAGGTAGCGATGATTTTTAATTTCGTTGTTAGGTGATCGTAATTTTGTGAATTTCGTTTCCTGGGATTTTATTTGTTTTGCGAATTTCTGAGATTTTCGGAGGAAATTTCCTTTCTTTTTTCTCGAATTCTATCGCTAACCACAAAAGGGGTGTGCTTCCTGTTTGGTTGCTGAGAATGTGGTTTCTTGCGGCTGTGTTTTTGTATTTGTTAGTGAAATTTGGGTTCATATTCTCTCAATTTTTTTGTGTTTAAAATCAAATTAATTTCTTGTTGCCTGCAATTTAGCTTATCTGCCTCATGATTTTTTCGATACTTTGAAACTGTGAAAGTTCTCGTCCTGAATTGAATTACTGATGCCATCTTAATTTGTATTTACAGGTCATTCCGAAAGAATCTCTCTTGGCTGCACAGGTATGGAGTTCTGTAAATTATTTTGGGATAATTTTGTATGATGTTACGGTGGTTATGTATTTGTTAATAGAATTCTATCAAATGTTGGCATTAAAATGTGCAGAAAGACGACGTGCAGAGGGTAATGGATGTGCTATCATCGAAAGAAAACCATGCCCGAACCTTACTCATCCATTATCGGTGGGATGTTGACAATCTGCTTGCGGTGCTTGTAGATAAGGGGAAAGATAGATTGTATGCTGAAGCAGGTGTGACGTTGGTGGAGCACAATAGCAATGTCTCACAACAGTTGCCCTCTGAGGTTATGTGCGGTATTTGCATGGACGAAATTCCAGCTGATCAGGCGACACTCATGGATTGCGGTCACTGCTTTTGCAACGAATGTAAGTACTCTCCTTTGCATCTTCTATATTTTTTCACGCAATGTACGCATTTTGTGATTATAGTTTCCTTTTAATGGAATCCGTTTTGTCTACCATTGTGCTTAGGCTGGACAGAGCATTTTATTGTGAAAATAAATGACGGGCAGAGTAGACGCATTAAATGCATGGCACATAAATGCAATGCTATTTGTGACGAATCCATAATCAGAAATCTAGTCAGTGCAAGAGATCCTAATCTAGCAGAGAAATTTGAGCGTTTTCTTCTCGAATCATATATAGATGATAATAGAATGGTGAAATGGTGCCCAAGTGTTCCCCACTGCGGAAATGCCATACGCATTGAGGAAGATGAACTTTGCGAGGTTGAATGTGCATGCGCGCTTCAATTCTGTTTTAATTGCTTATCTGAAGCACACTCCCCGTGTTCATGTCAAATTTGGAAACTATGGTGTCAGAAGTGCCAAGATGAATCAGAGACGGTTAATTATATTGCAGTCAATACGAAGCCTTGCCCAAAGTGTCACAAGCTGGTTGAAAAGAATGGAGGATGCAATCTAGTTACTTGTGTCTGCGGACAACATTTTTGGTGAGTGTTTATATATATTTTCTGCATTTTGTTTAGTCTTGTGCCCTTACGTTTATGGTATTGTGGGGCTGGTTTGGGGAACATTTCGTACATTTAGATGGTCCAGCAGTGTTCAAAACTCTACCTGGGTAGGATCCTTTTCTTAGGATTTGCTATGCTAAAGGTGAAGTTTATGTTGATGTGTGACTTTTCGTAGACTGGCTGCTTATAGACTAGGCTTTGGACATAAAATTATTGGTTTAAAGCATTCACTAATGTACGTGTCATCTTCGATGACATTGCGATAAGCAGTATTGTAAGACAGAGTGTGGCTTAAAATCTTCATTGAATCAAAATGGAGCTTCTGTAATTCTGTCACTCTTCTTTTTGATGAATCATTACTGCCATTTCTTTTGAATGGAGTGCATTTGATAATATTGCTTTAAAGTTTGTTTCTATACGTGTTTTGACAGTTGGCTCTGTGGTGGCGCAACTGGTTACGAGCATAATGCAGAGTCCATCGCGGGTCACAGTTGTGGGCGATTCAAAGAAGACGAGGAGATGACTCTTGAGCAAGCCAAGAGCGATCTTGTTCGTTACACTCACTACTACAACCGTTATCAAGCTCATATCGATTCTCTTAAGCTTGAATCAAAGCTGAAACAAAGCATACAAGGAAAAATATCGCATTTGGTAGAAAGAGAATTTACACGTACAGATTTTAGCTGGGCAACCAATGTACTCAACAGACTCTTCAGATCAAGGCAGATTATTTCATATTCCTATCCGTTTGCATATTACATGTTTAGCGAAGATCTATGCAAAAATGAAATGACGGCAGAAGAAAGGACCATAAAACAAAACTTATTTGAGGACCAGCAGCAGCAGCTTGAGTCAAATATGGAGAAGCTTTCTAAGTTTATAGAGGAGCCTTTTGATGAGTATTCGCCGGATGAAATTAGGGAGTTGAAAATCAGGATCTTAAATCTTTCTACGCTTGTTGATAAGCTCTGCGCAAAATTGTAAGTTTCTTTTAAGACTTGAGTTCTCCCATTTGGTCTTCAAAAATCTTGTTGGAGATGGTGTTGCAAACCTTTATCTTAATGTAGAATTGACGCGTATGGATTATATACAGGTACGATTGCATTGAGAATGATTTGTTGGGTTCCCTCAAGTGGACAAGGCACAGTGTTGCTTCTTACAAGTCGAACGGTGTGGAGAAAGCTTCAGAACTTACCGGTTCCTAGGGACACCACGTACTCTAACTTCGAACGGTATGGATATTTGTGGTAGCTGACTAGAAGAGAACTTGGTGAAAAATAACAACAGAACCTTGTCAACCTTTGTCTATCTTTGAGAGTTCGGGTGAAGTGCGATGCTGATGTGTCCGGTGACGAACTACTGGAGACTCCCTCATGTGAGCAGGCCTGCAAATGTGAGTTTCGCCATGGTGCTCTGCTCGTGGTATACATCTTAAATTAGGGTGCTCTGTTCTTGTTACCAACTGCATTTTTCCAACAGTCACATTTAACCTTATGAGTTTAGATTTAAAACATTACTATTTAGAAACCTATTTTTTTATCAGATTTTTTAACCTTTTTTTTATCCAATTTGTCGGGTTGATAACTGGTCGTGTTCAAATTTACTTATTTATATTTTCTTGTGTTTAAGTGTTGAGGCGTGTCTAAATGTATGATTTGAAGTCCTGCAACGTGTCGTGTAAAACATCAAATTTGATTGGATTTGGATCCTCTCTTGAGCTAACAGAGGGGATCCTCCTGGCCAATCATCGTGGACCGTTGAATTTTTATCCAACAGTTACAATCATTATAACTTTAAAAGGACCTCATGTTTGTAGCCATTGGATAAAAATCCAACGGCCTACGATGATTGGTCAGGAGAATCCTCTCCGTTAGCTCAGGAGAGGATCCAAATCCAATTTGATTATAATTTAGGAAAGGGATCCGGCGATCATCGTATATTGTGCGGTCATAAATTATTCTAAATTTTAAAATTAAATATGAATAGTACCTAACGAAAACTGGGCACACAATATACGATGAACGAGTGAGATCATGGAATTCCTAGGATTCTTAGGAAAATGATCCAGCGAGGATCCTGTTCGTATAATTTACTCCAAGTTTCTGGTGGATGCTCACCTCTCTCCTAGTGGTTTGCCAGGTGTCTTATATTGACCGTGGTTAATTTTTGTTTTAAATGCTCTTTAATTTTTGTACGGCAATTTTCATGAAAAAACGACTCAGTTGGATGAACTGCATTATTGATGTCCCTGAATATTTTATGTACCGTGAACAACGCACTTGAATTATTTGTGATGATCTCTCCAAACAAGCACAGGCGTATCGACGTGGCTCTTCTATTACGAATATCACCAGACGACGAAGCTTACTGATTTAAGAACAAGAGAAAGAATAAGTGGCCATAAATGATATTTTCGTAGAAATAGTGTTCTTACTTATTTTGATGATCCTCGTAAAAGATGGACCCTCCATTAAATCTTGAAATTGGCTCTTTATCTATTGGTATCTCATCATTCATACATAATGAATTGGTGTGGTATATTTTCACTATTTCATCCTATTATAGTATTATTGATAGGGATTTTAACGATGTTGAAGGTAGCTTGCTTACCAATTCATTTATGCGATTATTTTTAACAAGAGTTGCTGTGCAAAAAAAACTCCCAATTTAATTGAGATTTAGATATTCAGAGGCAAAAGATATGAATTAATACACTTTCAAAAGCTCCAATACGAGAAAGTTCCACTGAAATGCAAATAGGAATCAGAAATATGATCAATATTACGAAGAACAAAGAGATATCGTCTTTACCCAAATAAAAATTGATGTTTTTGTAAGGAAGGGATCAAAGGCTTTCCACATATTGAGATTTGACCGTAGAAGGATCAAATTGCATATGAGGAACAGAGGCAAGTGCCCATGGGTCATAACGAACTATTTGCACAACAAATCCACTTGGAAGTTGACTTATTTGCTCGGCCAAACGATAGACCAAACATTACAAAGCTAATAACTCTTTTAATCATTATTAAAAGAGCAAAAATTTACAACATACTAAACAAAATTAAACATAGAAGATTAACTACTCAAAGCACCCTAGAAGGCTAGAACCCTCCCAAAACCCCATTTATCCCCAAAACTTAGATTAAGCACTTGAAAGGGGGGACATGGATGACGGTGGTAGTTATGAAGCCTAAATACTAGTGAGCATTAAAGGGACAAGAAAGCGGACAGTGTGAACTTTATAACTTATTTTGAAAACCAATTCAAATTAAAATGGTGTATTATAATATTATCATTTTACGTGTTGATCAATTTAAACACGGATTAGGATCCTCTCTCGAGCTTAGGAGGCTGGGAGAGGATCTTGATCCTGTAAACACAAATACGACATGAATGTGAAAGTACATTTGGGATTTGGTTTAGCTTATTGTTTTCACTGTTTTATAAGTCTCATACTTGCGGCCCAGTGAGCTCGTAAAATCACTTTTTCAGACAACAAAATTGATCGGATCCGGGTTGTTGAGCAGCCCGGTTTACAATGATTTTTGTCCTTTTTCATGTTCTAGTTTCTTCTTCCTTCCCACAAAAGAAAAGAGAAAGTTTCTTCATCCGAACCGAATCGCCTTCGGACCCAAATAATATGAGCTTTCTGAGTAAAGAATCCGGACTGTTGAAATTTGATCAAATGATTATAATAAGGGGGTCCTCTAAAAGTTATAATAATTGTAACCGTTTAATCAATTTTCAACGGTACGGATTATTTGATCCTTAGACTCAGTTTATTTGGGTTCGGAGGGGATCCGATTCCTCTTCATCCTTAGTCACTATGTCCAGATTATTTCTCTTGATAAACTTTCCAGACTACACTTATCTGAGTAGGTATGTGTATGCATTTTCGTGCAGATTTGATCTCTACCAATATATATATCAATACCAATATATTTATTACATATAAACACAATTCTTACCATTATTGGTAAAATAAAAATTATCAAACCTACCAAAGTTTTGGTCCTGAAAAAATGCACGGCCATAATAATAACGTGTAGCAATGACAACTGAAAAAACGTGTAGGAGGGAGTCATGGTCCAACCCAACATGAACCTCACCACAAAAGTTGCGTTGGTTTTAAAAATAAGAAAAGTTGCGTTGGTTTCAAGTCGTAAATAACCGACTTAAGCGAAACCGTGTTGACAGCTAATCACTTACCCTTTCTACCTTAAATATCCTCCGTCCATTGTTTCCACCACTGTTTAATCTCAGCCGTTGGAATTCACTCACTATACCTATAAATACCCCCTCAGGCCTCCTCCCATCTCACCTGTTCGGATGGCGCCCTTGAGCGGTGTAGCGTCGGCGATCAGGTTTCAGCGCTCTGTGCTTGTGTGGAGTCTCTGTTTTTAGATTTCGATTTCGGCTCGATTCTTCCGTTTGGGTTTGTTGATTTTTATGGGATTGCGTTTCGTTATGGGTGTGATTTTAGGGTTTGGCTGGATTCTTGGCGATGACGTTTTCTCTTTCCAGGTTAAAATTTTTCGATCCCAGTCGTCTGACGATGTTAGAAGGTTGAATTCCCTTTAAATATTTAAATTCTCCGGGTTTCGACTTCTTGGGATTGATTAATTCTGCGTTGCAGTGTTATTGGTGTGTTTTTAGGGTTTGGCTGGATTGTTGGCGATGGCCTTTTTTCTACCAAGTTAATACGTTTGAAGCTTGTGAATTTTTGGGATTTTTATACCGATCCCGGTCTCCCGGACAAGATTTTGTGATGTTGGTATTCCAATTTGTTGGATTGAGGTCTCGTTTTATCTTCTTGATCTGCTTTTGCGGTTTTTTGATTTCTTGTCCCAGGCGGTCCGGATCCAGTAATTGGTTTAGCTATGGTTTCGATTCGGAGGGAAAGATCATCAATTTTACCTATGCGTTTGCACCACATCGGTTACCTCTTCCGTTTTCTTTCTTTCTGAAGTTTATAACATAATAATTTAGAAATTCGATCCCCATCCTTTGGCATAAGTGGAACGTTGTTGTTAATTTTCAGGCCCTGTTTACCAGATTTTGTGTCCCTAGGGTTTTGATTCGGAGCGGAAGAGCGGAAGATCATTAAATTTACCTTATACGTTGGGGGTTACCTCTTCCATTTTTCTTTCTTCCAAAAGTTCATAATAACTTAGAAATTTCGATCCCCATCCTTTTGAACATGTGGAACGACATTGTTAATTTGTAGGCCCTGTTTACCAGATTGAATTAGCATCGATGGTTTAGGCAGGAGGGTTAGGTATCTTACTCGACTAATATTTTGATGGTTTTGAGGTCGGATCATATGCTATTTAAATTTTTAAAAAAAAAATCTGAACTCGTAAATTTTTGTTTAAAATCATATTATGTTTTTCCTCTTGTTTAACCCTTCTATTGACAGAATAAATTCAGTAAACTTGGAACGCGTATGGTATTATCAACCTTCTTGCTTGTAGTCTTCTTTCAGATTCCGTTTTTTGTTCTCAAAGTCTGCTATTTCTTTGGCATTTTCTTATGCAGATGCATCCTAATTCCCATGTCCTTCCTTTAACCCTTCTTGGTTTATTGTTTCTGTTAAATGTCCTTTATTACGGATTTCTATGTCCTTCCTTTAAAAGTCCTCAGTGGTACAAGGTTCCTTGTTTTGGTCAATCTGCCTTTGTTTTTGTTCTTCAATGCAATTTGGTTTATAGAAGTATCTTTGTGCTCGTTCCAGTCTGTAACGTCTTTGTTGATTATTGCGTCTTTTAGGAGTAAGATTGTTGCTTAAAATGGGTTTGGTGCTTCTTTTTTCACGTTTATTTATTTATTGGCTTATGAACAATGTTTTACGGATCAAATTTAAATTGACTGGTAGTTTAAAGAAAAGGGATTGCTCCAATTTATGTCTTAATAGATATATGTATATATATGTATATGTATGGTGATATATTTGAGTAAGTTCATTCATGCAGACAGCTTTCCACTTCTCTGTATGCTGATGTCTTAAGTGTGTTTAGGAGTCGCAGTTGAGAGAAGTGCATGCCGATATCTAAAAGGGGGTTCTCTTGTCTTATAATCCTGTTAATTTGTTTTTGAGTAAATATTTTTCTACGTTGTCTGAGAATAAAACGCTTCTGTATGCAGACACATTCTTATCTTGTTGAAGGAAACAGCTTCGTACAGTGGGTTTGGGTGGTTCTTGACTTGTTTAATTTCTTATTTCTTGAGATTTATGCCATCTGGAATCATTATTTGATCAAAGATCACTGTTTTTATCAGATGCATCCTAAAATTTTCTTGTTATGGAGTTTCACTCAGTCAAAGGAAAAAGGGCTGCATGATTGTGTAAGAGGAGGGTTTGGTGTTTCTTGGCTCATGCGTTATTATCTTCTTTTTTAAAAGCTTTTACCATCTAGCACCATTTTTGAGCAATGATTTTTCTGCAGATGGTATGTTTTTTGTTCATGGAATCTCACGTTTTGAAGGACAATGCGCTGGTTTTAGTTGGGGGTTCAAGTGCTTTCTTCTTGCTTCTGATTTAGCTTTCTATTCTTGGGCTTTGTTTGGTTCTATATTTGAGCAATTTGTGCCTACCCTATTGTTTGTTTGCAGATACGTTGAAGCGACTTGTTTTTGGAGTCCTTCCTCATTAAAGGAGAACAGTGAATATTCACGGGGGTTCTGTTGTCGTATGTTTTTGTTTTCTTATCCTAGAGTATGGTTTTGTGCTACTATTTGAGCAATGTCTTTGTATGCAGACACTTTCCAACTCGTCTGTAAATGAGGTCCAACTTTGTAGTAGAACAAGCTGCTTCCAAGAGGGGGTTTGATTAGTTATTGGATTATGATTTAAATTCTTATTTCTTGGGTTTATGTTATCTTGTAGTATTATTTGATCAACGATCAATGTTCCTATCAGATGCATCCCAAAATTTCCTGGTTATGACGTCTGACTCGGTCAAAGAAAGATGTGCTATCTGCTTCTGAATGGGGTTCGGTGGTTCTTGGTTTATGTTTTCATCTCCTATTCTCAGAGAGCTTTTGAAATGTCGACCATTATTTGAGCAATATTCTTTGCAGATGCATTTTAAATCTAGGTTGGATATGGAGTCTCACTTTGTTCAAGGAGAAAGGGGTGCTTTTAAGGGGGATTTCCTTTATCTTTTAAATGTCCATTCTTAGATGTTGTATCCAATATTGCGTCATGAGTTGAGCATTGTTTCTGTATGCAGACACATTCTATCCATCATCTGTATATGGCAAGCAGAGGAAGGAGGGCAGTCTGAGGGGCTTTTTGATATAATATCGTACTCCTGGTTGAGATCTGGAACAATTATTGGAACAATGTTTTTTGCAGATCGATTTCAAAATGGCCTGTTTATGAAGTCTCAAGAGTGTCGGATGACAACAGTCTGCCTGTTTTTAAAGAGCGTTTACTACTTCTTGGTCTATTTCTTGATCTCGTATTTCTTAGAGCTTTGCGAAATTGTTTGAGCAGTTATTTGTGCAGATGCCTTTCTATTTCGGATCGAGTCAAACTCATTAAGGGGGAGCAGTCGACTTTTAAGAGGGGGTCTTTTGAGGTCTTTTGTTACTGTCTTCTTTTCTTTGCTTGGCTTCAGTTGCTTGAGCAATGTTTTTCTATGCTGACACGTCCCGACATTAGTTTGTATGTGTTGTGCAAGTTTAGTGAAGGAGAGTGGGCTGCTTCTGAAAGGGGGGATTTCCATAGTTCCTGTCTTATGAATTTGTTTTTGGTTTTTGAGATGCTGAACCATTATACAGTCACTGTTCTATTGCAGATGCCAAACTCTTTTTGTCTCACTCGGTTGAATGAAAAACAGAGCTGCCTGCTTTTAGGATGGAGTCAGATACTCTTTGGCCTTTTTGTCTATTCTAAGTTGTTGTTCTTATGAGATCTTTATGATTTTATTTTCTTTTTTTAGTTTATAAAGTTGCTCTATGTTTGAGAGTACCTTTTGTATGCAGAGACATCCCAACTTCTGTCTGGGTTCAACTTTGTTGAAGGGGAGCATACTGCTTTTTGAAGGGGTTTGGGTTCTGGGCTTATGATTTGATTTCGTATTGCTTGGGGATTGTTTACCGTGCAGAATTTTTTAGCTTGGAGTCTTTCGTATGTCTACTTTATCTAACCGTCCTCACATTTGGTTTGCTATTCATCTGTTATCCTTCACTGTTTTCATAGAAAGATTGTCTTTGGCTTACGCTTCTTGGCTTCATTGTCTTCTGGCTCTGGTTTTACGCATCTTGGCTTGGTTTATGTTCAAATACTGCAGCCTGATGTACGAATGATGGGATTCACTACTATTTGACAGATGCTGAAGTTTGTTTGGCTATTTAAAATTAAGGAATTTTCCCTGGATAAGATCCAGCATTTTCATTTCAGATGCAGTTGTCTTCTCAATTACCCTCCTGTGGTTTGATTTCAAGAGGGAGTATGATGCTTCTTTTCTTGTGATCAGTTTTTTCTTTAAAGCGCTGTAAGATTCGATTCTAAATGTATGCAGTGATTGGGTGGAGCCTTATTTCATTGGATCCTAGAGGAGTATGGTCTGCTTCTAAAGATGGCACTACACATGGACCGAAGTCATGGATTCTGGTTTTGTTACATCAACTGTCGTGAAGTTTGGTTTTGTTTCAACAACTATGTTTTCTTGCAGTGTCCCTGTGCTGACTAATCTAAAGTATCATGGAGTTTGGGGTTGGGGCTGACTCAATGTCTTCTACTTAGGCCAGCCAGAATTCTTTTGGGAGTTCAAGGCAAATTAAGAGGTTCTTGCTTTCTGGCTTATCAAGTTATCGTTTTATTTATTTTCTTGTAAGAGTTCATACGTCTGGCAGCTATGTGGATGCATTCCCGCAGAGGGCCCTTGCTAGAAACTCATAGAGTTGGTGTTTAACATGCAAACGATCTGGCAGTTTTGTTTGGGGTATGATTATGCAGTATGGATTTTTCTTTTCGTGAATGAGTGCAGTGTGTCGTAATCATGTTGATGGAACTGCTCTTTGAAGATGTCGTGGAGTACGGTTGTTTTCTATAGATAATGTCATTGATAATGTCTTATATTTCCTGTATGTACTTTATTGTTAGTGGTGGCATTACTTATGCAGATGTAAGGTGATGTCTTAATTGATTCAAAGTTGGATGATGGAAATAGAAGTGGTTTGAAAGTCGTCTTTTCCTTTTGCATTGAAGTTTGGCCAGTGTTCTATCGTTAATTTAATCACTATCCAATTCGGTTTGTCTTTCTATCCGATGCTCATTTGGCTTTATATCAGTTTGGTCTATTGTTGACGTTGTAGCTGTGCAGTTTGTATTTCAAAAAGTAATGCAAATGTCTTTGTCATTTTGTATGTGCAACGTGAAGATAGGGATGAAAATAGTGTTCCTGGATTAACATTATAACTAATCAAAGTGATTAATATTCTTAATTGTGGGTTGACTCTGAAAGGAGCCGCATGAAGTGCATCAATAATTTACAGTGAATTGATGGGTGTCTGCAATTGGCGTCTAAAGACATTGAATTGGACTATAAAGCTAAATAAGGTCAAAGCACCTAAGGGAATGCTAAATGACATGCATGATATTTGGCTACATCATGATATATTTTATGTCAAAAGCATGAATAGGTTTAGCCGCATGATTTGTTTTGTCTCCTCCTATGTCTGCTGTGTGTGCAAAAGAGAAAAACATGGATAACATGAATAGGCGTGTTTTTTAAAACATGGATAACATGCAAAAAAGAAAAACCGTGAATAACAAATTGTTTGATTCGTTTCTTTACTCTGCTGTTTGTGCATTTGTTGTTAGGTTAGCTTAGGTTAGAGGGATGTAGCTCAAAATGGTAGAGCGCTCAGAGCTTGTAATTTGTAAAAGTTACAAGGTGTACCTGAGAAGATCAAGGTTCGAATCCTTGCGTCCCTGCATTGCTCTTTGTTGCATTAACAAGTAATGTGGAACTTGTAGGGTGTATAATGCATCTGTTTGTGTTCTGCAAGACGAAGTGGTGCCTCATTTTTCGAGCCGGATATGTGAGTTTTGCGTTCTCGTGTTTAAGTAGCTGAAGTGATAAAGGTTTGAGTATGTCGAAATTCAGCGCTGGAAAACCTGTTTCAGCATCCTGTGCAAACCGGAGAGAGCTAAAGCTTCTGTAGACCGTTGGGGGAAGAAAAGCATCGGCACCCCAGGCACACTGAAAGCATGATGGCCTTGGAGGAAGAAAACATCAACGTCAACTAGTGACGGCGATATAAGATAAATGAAGAAGTAAACTGGTGGTGCTCGTAAGCAAAAACAAGACTGGTTTTCTTAGTGAACATTAGAGTCGATGAGATGTTAAGAAATTCCTAGTTTCTGTAATGCTCGCTTTTGCAAGTTTTTGTAGATGATGTGATTGATGAGTGTGTTCTCTTTCGGTTATCGCCGCCTATATTTTGGCCCGTTTATTATTTTGGGCTTGCAAGATCTTGTACACGCTTTTACTTTCTTCGGTAACAATTTGATCCAAAGCAGTAACTGCGCAAACATGTTGGCCCAAATATTTTCTAGCAACTCACGCCGGCAGCAGTTCGGGATTCAGTTTAGGGCTGGTTTGGTATTGCTGTGTTTTGAAAAAAACCTCTGATTCTGCTATGTTGTGAGAATTATTGCTTCACATTTTCAGGTTTTTTTATCCAAAATTGTGAAAATAAGTTGTTTTTTAAATATTTACCAAACATCTTTTTGAGCTTAGTTTTTTTTTTGTTACCTATTTTTTTTTAAAGCACTTCAGTACCGATCAAGTACTTAAATAGGGAGATAGTACCGTACCAGTACTTAAGATAGGGAGAATAAGTTGATGAGAATATCAAAACATTAAAATATCAGCAATTGACCTCCCCCATAAGTAGGAAATGGGGAATATAGGTGGGCAAGGGGATCGAACGTGGATGTTTTCTACTAAATTTATAAGGATCGTCTGAAAATATTTTTAAAATGCGTTTATGGTGAAATTAATTTTCTATTTAAGTGTTTTTTTGGAAGAAGCATTAGATTTGTACTAAAAATTGGTTTTAAAAATATTTTCACCAAAGGCGATTTAGTCATTTTATATTTGTAAGTGAAATGTAATAGTTTGAAATCTCTTGGATGACTAGTTTAATGAGTTTATTTTTTACGTTGTATCATTATTTCAAAGAAAAAATAAGTGATAAGCTAAATATTTCTACGCCTTTTGTGTTTATGATTTCGGAGGAGGATTCTACTACCCTTATATTTCCATCATCTTCCATCCCCTCCTCTCATACATTAGTTTTTTTGTCTTATTATCTCTATAAAAAAAAAATCAATATAAGATGTTGACGTGGCTTAACCGTGATCGTTCAAATAGGAGGGGATGGAAGGGTAGAGAATTATCCTCCTATAATTTCTTGGTAGTTCCTTAACCTTCAGTCCAAAGTTCAAATTGAATCAGATTCCGTTTAGGCAAAATAAGGGGATAATTTGGCTATAATTAAATAGGAAGGGCTTCTGTAACATCCCACATCACCCAGGGGAGTGATCCTTATATGTATATTCTCATCTCTACCTAGCACGATGCCTTTTGGGAGCTCACTAGCTTCGGGTTCTGTAGGAACTCAAAGTTAAGCGAGAAGGGGGCTAGAGCAATCCCATGATGGGTAACCTACTGAGAAGTTACTCATGAGTTCCCAAAAACAAAACCGTGAGGGAATGGTAAGCCCAAAGCAGACAATTTCGTGCTACGATGGTGGAGCAGGCCTGGGAAGTGATCCGCCCCAGGCGGGATGTGACAATTTGGTATCAGAGCCTAACCTTGGTCGAGTGTGTGCTGACGAGGAC